CTCAGCTGGATGCACTGCCGCTTCAGGGAGGAGCTCAACGTTCAGGGTAGGTGGGCGGTGCGGGCTACATCAACACGCGTCCAGAGCGTGCCCAGTGGACGTCGGCCCGAACTGGCCGTCTGGCGGCCCGCCCGCCTCAGTTTTGGCCACCATGCCCAGGTGTCTGGGATATGCGTTTCCATGTCGTAGATGTGTTCATACAGGACTGGTATCCACAGTGGTGGGTCCTTCCGACGTTAGCAGACATTTCAGGGCGGCAGGTCCTTGGAGCGTGCGGTTGTTAATCGATGCGATGCTCCTGATGCCGGCCTCTAGCTGTACTTCCCGGATCAGGCTATACGACCGACCGCGAAGCGCCTCTGTCCCCAGTCTCCGTAGACATACCTTACTGGGATGTTGATAGCTGTTCAAACGTGCACCGAGCTACACACTACAGACTGATGTCCACTCGAAGACGTACACCTGGCTGCCCTGGCTTTCTCAGTGCTGTTCGCAGACGTCTGCCGGGCACGCTGTTCGCACGCTGACCGCTGACCACTGGTTACATACATAAAACCGACTGCTGCGACAAAAGGCCGCCAGCTCACAGAAGGGTACACGTAGCTCAGCGAAGTTGCTCGTCTGGGAAACCAAGGATAAGGGGTTAGATCCCCGCGGTGCCCACTCTTCCTGCCTGGGCGAAAGGAAGGTGAAGCCTCATAGCCTCGGCTGTCGAGTGAGCTGAAAGTATCCGAAAGCCACAATGGCAACATCTCACAGATGCCCGCCGATGCGAGCGTGCTCAGTGCCCACGTGCTTAAGTTTGACAGCTGTTTGCAGACGTCAACCTGGCGTCTCTGGCCTCATCGCTGAGGATGCGCTTCCGGAGGTTCAACGACGTACACTCCCGTCTGGAGGCGCAGAGCGACAGCATCCTGGCCATGCAGACGGACGCGCGGGCCACCAGCAGTCACGCACTGGCCACGATCCTCGAGCGGCTGGAGCAGGGGTGAGTGGACCGCCGGCCGGCACCGGCTCGCGGCCCACCCGCCTTCGCCGGTCCGCCGGCCTCGTTTCGTTTGCTTTCGTTCTGACGACAGATTGCGACCCTCACGGATTCGCATAAAGTCCACGCGCTGTTTTCGCCGGCGCTGGCAGCGTGAAAGGGTTGCCAAGGAAGCGGCCTGCCTGGTTTTAGCGTGGGTACGGCAATCCAAGCACAGCGCTAAGAAGTTACCCCCTTCATCGCCAGATGTCATCCAGGCAACGAACCCAGAACTGACTATGACCTAAGCCCTTATAACGACATGATGGACCAAGTAGTCAAGCTGGAACAATCCGTAAACCACGGATTCGTCAAACTCCAGGTGATTGCCGTCATGGACGCAACATGGGGTTGATGGGAAGGTAAATTAAGCTTTGCACCATTCTTTTCATTGCGGTGCGCTAATTTACGCTACACTTATTAAAATAGTACGTTAATCGATAATTAAGGTACTAATTAAAACGCTACTTGCGCTAATTCACGCGCTAACTTACCTACGACTAAAACCAATGAAAGAGCTTATTACAAACAATGGTGTTGCGCAAGGTTTCCATGGTGCAGAATAAAACACGGACTGGCACAGGGCGCACCTGTCAGCGCGTTGGCGCGTTAGCACCGAGGTGTGCCTGCAGACACAACTAACAGCTGTCCCCTGCACGAACGGCCAACTGGACGCTACCACAGTGCCGCTCACAGGCCTTCCATTCTGATCGAGACGCCAACGCAGCGGTCCTTGTTACAGACGGAGGTGCAAGAGCTGTCGCACGCCCTCCGACATGTCCGGGTGCTCCCAGGCGAGGAGGAGGGAGAGGAGGACACGCACCTGGGCATGTGGATCGACTGGGTGTTCGGTAACGTCTCCCAGCAGCTGCAAGAGATCGCTCTGAAGCTGTCGCCGCCCGAGACAACATGAGCTGCCGCCAACAGTGAAGCAGCCAGTGGCGAAGCACCAGAAGTCCCTCTGCCACGCAGCCACCATATTCGAGCGCGGGAGTGCGTGACACCGCTCTGTCCTGTGACTCTGACTCTGACTCTGACGCGACTCTGTGCAGCAGCACGCAGACATGTACATTGGGGACAACCGCATGCATGGTGACGGCTGTGGCCAAGATCAACGCACAAAGTGCGCGCGAAACGTGCTACCAGTGCAAGGGTACATAGGCAGAGAATGCGGGATGGGTTTTCCAGGCGGATTGAGCGCCCATACGCCATTGTTCACACCAGAGACGCAACTTCTTGTCCTTGGGTCATGTGCTGAGCACTGAAAGAGTTGGGCGTTGCCCCAATACGTAGTCACAAGCTCGTGAAAGATATCCGCGTGATCGACCGAGCCAGTGTCTGAAACTGGGGGTTTCTTGGCGTTTTTGGCCCAAGACATTTTATTCTCCACAAATATACAGTTGAAAGAACTAACAATTTTCTCAGTGAGCAACAAGAGTGGCAAATGGCCCTCTCCCCTACCATCAACGGCGCCACATAACAAATACCCACGGCTGAGAGGGATGCTGCAGGTGGGCCACAACGGAACCTTATTATTATTATTATCGCGAACCTTGGTGACATCCGGGGATTGGCTATCCTAACGCCGCATCAGTGCATATCACATAGATAAACACAGCATGCGCACCACATGCAAATGAGACGCAACGCCAGCGATACACATACGATGTTATAAAACATGAGGGACTTTTGATACAATCAGCGCCTGCATGTCGTGGTCAGTTGGCCAATTTCGGTAAGTTCTCTGATGAAAGACATTGCTTTGCCCTTGAGCTAATTTCAGGTTTTGCATTGGTGCGTAGCAGGGAGGCGATTCCACGCCGCCACGGCTCGATAGGGAAATGCCCTTTTCAAGCACTCTAAGCGAGGGTGTTTTACAGCGCTCGTCTGCAGTACAGTTTCGTCATCGGTGACTCTGGTGTGCCGATGAGATACTTCAGATCGGCGCCCCATCAGGCTACTGATAGCCCGTGGCCCATCAGGCACGTAAATGGCGCGATGCCAGTCAGTATACATATAGAGTACATACATACATGCATGCATACATACATATACATATACAGTCGCGGTGGGTGACAGTCTCGTCGAAATTGGGCCAATTTAGCTGTTTTCGGGTTTCGTGATGTGATCTCGTCTGCGTTTGCTTATCGTCAGCCCCGCAGGTTTCTCTTCAACGCACTCCGCATTTTGACCCCACTCACCAATACACCTATCCAACTGCCTACAATGCCGCATGCACTCAAACGCAGCACTCCACGAACCGCACCCTATACTCAGGCTCAGTCATCCCCCGTCAAGAACGTGTGTGAAGTTCGCAGTTGTACTCCTCTTCAGCAGAGCTCGACGAAAGCTTTGATTCTTGCGAGATTTGTACCAACGATAGCCCAAAGTGCGTTCACGGCATAGTTACAGGCTTTTTGTAGATGTTTTGACCTCCAGAGGTCATAAAGGATCAGCCGACATGTGTCGACAAACACGATGCATGTTACACACCAATGAGTTGGGCATATTGCGCAGATTTCAGAAAGACGCTCAAAATGGTCCTAAAGCAAACAGATCGAAAGATGTTACTGACTCCCTTGACACCTAACACCTTTTTCGCATCATGCATTATCTTACATTGACTTAATCACCATACTCAACAAACTGGAACACCCCAAATGCTAAAAGTGTGCGACAAGGAATACACTCACAAATGCAAAGTTTTCAGATGAAACCAAATTTGGCGACCGAACTGGATGTTAAGCCCTGTTATCTCACGTGATGACCTTCCTCGAGCAAGCATGCGAGACACATCTCCAGCAAGCAGATATAATATTGTGGAAATAAATTATGTTGTATATAACAATACATAATGTTGTGTAAATTGTGAAAATAAATATAATATAATGGAATTGTGACAATTCCTCAATCAAACCATAGCAGGTCAGTGAGCACGTCATCACTGACGTCAACCCATAGCGCACCGATATTTGTTGTGTGCATATAAAACGCGTAATGGCTGATAATTAGGGCAGCATAACGTGCCGAAATAATCCGGCTATTTCAATTGACTGTACACACACACACTGCATCAAAGTTTACAGGTGGGACAAGTTAGAAGGACCAAACTGCAGTTCAGGCCATTTCAGGCGACGTACCGACATTATGCAGGCAGGTATGAATGCCACATTTCCAGAGACTAAATACAATGCCGACTCGAATGGTGCCAATTGCTTCATCAAATGAAGCCTAGTCTAAACGTGCGACCCTCCGACGTGAGAAATTCCAACCACTCTAATTTTCTCTAAAAAGTTACAAGTGTGGAGCAACTCAGATAACAACAGGATTTCTTGGCTTGTCCTTCCCTTTTAAATTTTGATTACATTTGTGTTGACATTAAACGAAACCAGCATTTTATGGATTTCAGCACGTTGGATTAAACTGGTTATCAACCAGTACACATTAGGTGAGCAGCTAACGAATGTCGGTATGCCGCGGATTGGCGTGTAGAGGCCACAATTCTTGATGCTCCGAGAAATGCCAACAAATGCCATTTTCATCTGTTTGTATCACACTTGTGACGTTTTTAAATAAAATCAAAGGGATCAAAATTTTCAGGTCGTCAAGTTCCATGTTAAAGTCAACGGAAAATAATGTAAATAACAATCTCGACCAACCGACGTTGCAGCGACACGAACTCATCAAAAGAAAATAAGCAATCATAGGTGCTGTGAAGTTTGGGCCGACCTGTGCGAACTTTCACACGCTATCATGCGAAATCATGAACCTACTAGCTTCGGGAGACCTTCAACATGGTACATGCGCGCAGAGCACCCCCTAAGCAGCTGTTTCGATCTACACTCTAGAGATATACGGCTGTGGGGAGGCCAAACAGAACGGCGAGCTGAGCACAGCGGCGGTGGGCGGCGCGATCCGCCCCAGCGCGGGCGGGCCCGGCCAGGTGAGCCCTCGCGGCAGCGCGCCGCCAACTGACCTCGAGCTTGGCGTTGTTCTGGAAAACGGTCTGCGTCTTGTGGACGAGCTGCGCCCAACAGGAGGCGAGCGCGGCCAGCTTGTGGCGTACAGCCGCCGTCAGGCCGCCCGCCTCGTCCGCCTCGGGCAGCGAGTCGGCCGCCTCGTCCAGCGAGTCGAGCACGCCGCTGCCTGCCGGCCGAAGCGTCCGACGGACCGTCAGAACTGGCCGCCGTCTCGTCAGCGGTCACCTGCTACGGCAGACGAAGGCCATGGTCGCATGCGGCACAAAACGATGTGACGACGCAACGAGGACTTAACGAGCTCTGTCCTGGCTGCTCACCCAAGTGACAATATAGACCCTGTACTACATTGCCCAGAACACCATGTACAAAGATTAGCTGAGCGGGTTCTAACCGGAAGGCGTGTGTTCACAATCATACGTTACAGCGGGGATGATTTTCGCACACAGCTAGAGTGCAGCTACCTGCTTTCAAAACCTACCAAGAATGGTGTCTAGGTCAACGAAGGTGACATCGAACTCCTTTTCCAGTGCATCCATCCACTGGAATGATAACGCTGTAACCGCCATTGCTCGACGCACCTGTAATCAAAACAGAATAGCACTGATGACGTACACATCGCGCAACAGTAGAGCATACTTCTGGCTGTCCGCAGAGCGACTAAGACCCGCACCAGGTGGCAACAACGTCACGTTGGGCTCGCATCAGGCGCGGGCAAGAGCCGCCACGCCAGCCAGCTACAATGCAGCTGGCAAGTGAACATTGTAGCTGCTCCTACTGAGTGGCATTGAATAAAATTGCATTTCACATTTGGTGCATAACAACAGGTGCAATTGGTAGTGTGCACTCCCAAGCTATACTGTCCTATGTGGGCGTGGCTGCACGCCGGCCGTGCGCGCTGGCTGTGTGCAATGCTGAAGAGCAGGGCAAGACATGAGTGCTGACTCAACACCACCAGCAGAGAAGACAAGGGAAGATAAGGCACGTCGTCGTGGCCGCTGCGAGTGCGCACTCGGCGGTCATGAGGAGGAACGATAGGGGGTCCGGCGGGACTGCGCGGACAGCTGGATGTTCCAACACCGCACTCCTCCCCTGCCACACAAGCAGCGTCTGGCGGGACTGCGCGGACAGACTGGGGGCAGCTGGATGTTCCAATGCCGCACTCCTCCCTTGCCACACAAGCAGGGTCTGGCGGGACTGCGCGGACAGACCGGGGACAGCTGGATGTTCCAACGCCGCACTCCTCCCTTGCCACAAGCAAACATTCCCCTGAAGCACCTGGGAAGGGCCTGGCTGCTGAACAACAGATGTAGCAACTGTGTACCAGGCAGCATGTGACAATGGTAGATTGGGCTGCCAGAGAAAGGATGTGCCCCATGCACAGGTGTCATGCTGTGCAGTAACAGCTGCAGCAAGATGGTGTGAACTGGACTCATCACACTGAGACACCTGACTTATGGCCCAGGGAGCAGGCCTGGGCCTGGCTGAGGTCCCAACAGGCAAACAGTCGACCTTGGCACTCTGAGACAGTGGAACAGCACACCTAGATCTCCCAGAAGCTTTTGTCTGTCTACAGACAGTGCCATTGTGCCCATCAAGCAGCCTGATGTACTAGCAGTGTGTGGATGCACTGTGGAGCTGAGGCTACAGGTGTAGAAGCCACCCACAGAGTTCCTTGCCAATAGGATGATGCTGGTACATGCTCACCAGAACAGGACAACCACCTGGTCCACCAAGGCCAGCTAGTCCACACACAACACTGACTAGTTCACATATGCTGGCAGACTAACTAATACTGGCTCCTTCACTAACACCAGCTGGGTCACCATGGCTGGTCAGATTGCCAGTGCTAGCTGGTTCAGCAGTGCTGAGTGGCTCACCAATGTTGGATGGCTTGCCAACCACTATTTAACAAAATGCTACCATGCAAGTAACTTGCCAAACATAATTTTGCTCATATACTTCTGTGCCAGACACTGCCAATGTGAATAATGCACAGCAGAACACACCATGGAGTGTCCAAACTGCTTTAATTTTGACCAGCCCATGACAACAACATATTTTGTGCATCATACTTCACATTCTCCTAGTAGAGAATACTGAGCAGCTACTTGCCAGGTGACTCAGATCATATAAGGTCCTGTTCGGTGCTCATGATAATACCTGCTCCTGCCTAATGCCTCATACTTCTGCCATGTTGCTTGAGCTTTAAAAAAAAAACATCAAATTCCAAGCTGTAATTTCCAGCTCCATCAAGCTTATCAAAACTGGAGAAAGCTGCTTAAAAATATGTGCTGTTAGTACACCTAAGAAGCAAGCATATATGTATTTCATGACCATTTTAAGGCAACTATTTGATCACTGGTGCCATATTGCATTGCTTGGTCACTGATCTACAGTCTCACCCTTACCCTGTAATTGATTATAAGGATCCTACGATGTCTTTAAGATGCAGTTAAACATGTCACTAGTATGTTGCTGTCCACTCATATTATATTTCCAGTTGTGAGTACACATTAGCCAAGAGGGCACCACGTTCCAACTTAACAATGACAATTCATGCCTGACAGCAACATTGTCCAATGTGCGTGAAGGTGCACTGTGCACCCAAGTGCTCCAGGTTTGGTGTTTAACCATGGACACAGTGCATATATTAAAATATTGCTATGGTTATTTAAAGGAGGAATACCACTGTAATGTTTGATAGGGCAGACATGCTTAGAAAATCCAGCACAATTTAGCCAAAACTGAGTTCAGTGCAAATAAAGATAATTTGCATACAATATGCTCCTGGAAAGCCAGGTAAATGCCTTCATTCAGACTGCAAAACAACATTTGCAGCACGGATATCATCAATGGATGTGTAGTCAATCATTTTTGGTCTCCTTCAAGCAGGAGCTATTGAGTTAATGCTAGCTGATTGTGCTCTTTGGAAGTGTTGAGCATAAATGCTTATGGTTGTAATGCGTTTCTCCTAAAAAGAAGGCGACTTCTTCAAAAAGGCCATATTTTTCGTATACTGGCAGTGGATGTGCCTGCTCGGCTTTACGAGTGCTTCCTGATACACGGATACTTACCAGCGGCTTGAAAATGCCACACCACCGCTTACTACTGTGCACACAACAAAAGGCCAACTATCAAGTATCTACCCCTAAAGCCCCGCAATCGGTAATAGCGTGCACCTACACCCCAAACGTGCTTATTTGGGCCGCTCGACGCGAGACACACGCACGCGTGACGTCTTTCAGCACCTATTCTGGATTCCCCAAGTTCGCTGTAAACAACCTTGCGGAGGGACCAAAATACTGTAACGATTCCTCCTACTTGGCTCACATTTAGCGCTAGGTAAATGTGTTTTTTGTCAAGATGTTGCTTAAGATTTGATTGTGATAAATTTATTCATTCAAATGCAGAAAAAACACCATATTGGTTTATTTTCAAGGCGTAATTTAGTCAAAATGCGCTTACAAATACCAATATGGATAAATTTTATTTTGCTGCGTTTTAGCATTTTGTCAGCTGAGCCCTCATCGCAGCTGCGCCAGAATTGCAGGAGTTGAGTCGGGCTTTATGTTCGCGCGGCGCGGCCTTGACGCTCCGTATAGCCTAACAGGGATTAACCGCGTGGTGCACGAGTTCTGCGCGGTGGAGCTACAATTGGACTGGAATTGACCTGCAACCGCCTAAGTTGGAGGTCAACTAAGGAGGTAAAACAGTTTTGATTCTCTCACGCTCATTTTGTGGCTTATAACAACGCATCTGTTATGTGGTTTCCTTAATTTGCAGAACATCAGTTGGAAGCTGTAAGCAAGCAACCGAATGTTGAGGAAAGAATGCAACGTACCGCTGTCTCCCAGGATCGAATTCGTGTCTGAATGCTTTCCAGCTCACAGCCTGAAGACTAGTGGTGATGTCAAATTCTGGTAGGTTGGTCTATTGAAACGTGTGTGTATGGACAGATCACAGAAGTTTTTCAAACCAAGGCAGATTTCATTGAGACAACATTGGGATGAGGTGGTGCAAACACATCCAATTTGGGAAACTTGTCGAAGTGCTGGTGCAAAAAATATTGAATTGAATTAAAGAGTGTTCCACAACATGCAATACTGGTAGGACAACACTAGGACCAAATAATGTTTTGGCAAGGAAGGTTAACAAAATCTCCCTCAAATGACCAGTGACCAGATCTCACAGCAGAGTGAAAGGATCACTCAGCTGGAAAGCAAAGTCAGTGGCTTGGACACATCTCTCAGGGAGCACATGAGACAGGTTCAAGGATCCATGAAGGAACAGGAGGAGGCTGTCATCAGGCAGACAAAGATTATTGAGTATTCCTTTAAGGAGCAGGAGAAACTGAAGAGTGCTTATGCAGACATTGTGAGAGGTTCATGTGACCAGGAAGTTCAGTCAGTTTGTAAAAAAGTGGAGTCTGTTCCTCTGCAGCCAGCCATTAGTATTGGGTCCAGAGCTGCCCAGGAAATCTCGGGAATAAACTCCAATAAACAACAAAAACAGTGACAACTACATTGATAAGGAAAAAAGGAAATGCACTGCAGTTGTTCTTTACCTACCAGAAGAGGCAGGTAGGTTCCAAAGTGACAGAACCCAACAAGATATGGCCAAGTTCTCTGAGATTGTGAGACAAGAATTAAATCTGAAAGTCCATGTAGTCAAAGCCTTCAGGGCTGGAAAGAATCTTTCAGGTAAGAATGGGCTGATGATAGCAACACTTGAAAACAAAGAGACCAGAGCTGAGCTCCTGAAGCTTGCCTAGCACCTGTGGCATAGTAGCAACTGGAGTATGTTGTTCATTTCTCAGGAAAAAACCCCAAAGAGAGGGAGGAGGATAAGAAACTGAGGGATAAACTCTTCAGGAGAACAGAGGTAGGTGAGCTTGACACACTGATCAGGCAGGGTAAAATCATCAAGCAGAGTGCCCCATTGTCACACGTGGCTGATGAACTAAAAGGTACCAGTGTGGCTCACTCTATTGTACAAGCGGCAGCTGCAGCTACCCTGCAAAGGGATGAAACATTAAGAGCTCCAGCAGTCTGCTGAGCTAATGGTCTCGGAGGCACCAGCATGGTTCTTCCGCTTGCCTCTGGACCAAATACAAGCCCAAGTGAGAACTCCAGGGGCACTCAAGCAGGATGCCCCCTTTAGTTTATTGGACCCTGCTGGTGGGGGCATTGCAGGTCACCTCACTCGGGGTCCCAGGGGTTCTAGGGGTTCTGACAGGACTGATAGCATCACAGCTCAGTCACTTGGGAGGGATCCATGGATCAACAAACTCGGGCTCAACCACAATGACTGCATAAGGCTCCTCAGTGCAGGGGTAAGCAAGGTCTGAAAATATTGTACACCAATGCAGACCAGTTCCTTAGTAAAAGGGATGGTTTATGTATGCTTATTTCTGACCATAAGCCAGATATCATGCTATTGACTGAGGCCCTTCCCAAAGCCCAGAAGCTTCCCATTGCACCATCTCTCCTATCAATTTCTGGGTATACCTTGTACACAAACTGAAATCTATCTCAGCCCACCCTTGGATCTAGTGGCAGGAGAGGCATGTGTCTGTGTCCAACTTATTAAACACAGCTGAGCACTCATTTGGGTCAGGTCCTCCGGAGCAAGTGTGGCTGAAGATGGCCTTGAGTGTGAAGGATGCCCTGCTACTTAGCTGCATGTACAGAAGTTCATCAGGCAATATCAAGACAGTGTGGGCCAATTGAAAGACCTTCTTCAGAAAGCATGCAGAGCCCAGTTCTCTCACTTGATGGTTGTAGGCGACTTTAACTTGCCTCAGGATGACCGGGCATCAGCGTGGTTGTCAGCTCCAGAGAGTCACCCAACCCACTCACTGATAGACACCATTCAGGGCTGTTTCTTGTCCCAGCATGTCCAGCAGCCAACACGCCACCGGGTTAGTGAAGCCCCCATTGTTCTGGACGTCATTTTCACAAATGGGGAGGGCATGGTGAGCCAAATCAAATACCTGCCTGGGCTAGGTAACAGCGACCATGTGGTTGTCAGGTACACTTTGCTCTGCTACTGTGGGCTACAAACTCCTCGTGCCAGCCAGCTGACACAAATTACGAGCATCTGGCTGATGCCCTCAGGTCAATGGACTGGTCCCTGATGGAGAGCCTCAGCCCCGAAGATGCTTACAAGTTCTTCAAGGAAAGAATCGCCAGGGCTACCGAGGTTTGCTCCGTCAGGAGAAGGACTAAACCTAAGAAGAGCTTGTACATGAACCCAAGGGCGATGCAACTAAAGAGGACCAAGGAAAGACTATGGCGAACGTACATGCGGATTCAGGATGTTCGGGACCACGCCAGGTTTGTGCGTTGTCGCAGTGACCTTCGGAAGTTGACGAGAAACCTTCGGAAAGAGTATGAGTTGAAGTTAGTAGCAGACCTCAAAAGAAACTTCAAGGCCTTTTGGAGGTACGCCAACTCAAGACTACGCTCAAGATGCAGGGCAGAAAACCTTGACAATGATGGAGTGTTGACCAGCAGTAACGAAGGAAAGGCCAATGTCCTCTGTAAATTCTTCGCCAGTGTTTTCACGGAAGAAGGGACTAGTGTCATGCCTGTGTTGCTGTGCAACTGTACGGGACCGTTTCTGGACAACGTGGACATTTCTTACCAGGCAGTGGCAAAGAAATTGGCTTCTCTGAAGACCTCGAGCGCCTCTATGCCAGACGATGTCCATCCAAGGCTTCTTCGCGAGTCCACCGATGTCCTGGCAGCACCCCTCAGCATGCTTTTCCGGAAATCTTTGGCATGTGGAGGGCTCCCCCTGAAGTGGAAGCTTGGCGAGGTAGTCCCGATCTTCAAGAAGGGTAACCGACAATCCCCAGCAAACTACCGCTCAGTGAGCCTTACTGCCATTCCCTCCAAGATACTTGAAATTTTCGTCCGTGATGCCCTGCTCAATCACTTCTCGGGGTCTGGATTCCTCCATGCAGTCCAGCATGGGTTGCTCCCTAAGCGGTCCTGCATCACCCAGCTGTTAGAGGTCATGGAGGATTGGAGCGCCGCGGTAGAGGATGAAGAGCCGGTGGATGTGGCGTACCTGGACTTCAGCAAAGGCTTTGATTCCGTACCTCAGAACCGTCTGCCCTCCAAGGTTCATGCGCATGGTGTGAGAGGTAATTTGCTATGCTGGATCAGGGCTTTTCTTACCCACCGGATGCAGAGAGTGCGAGTCCAGAGCTCGAAGTCGCACTGGACCGACGTCGTCAGTGGCATCCCGCGAGGATCCGTACTTGGACCAACGCTGCTCATAGTTTTCGTGAACGATCTGCCAGAACAAGTGCGAAGCGTGGTCAAGATGTTTACGGATGACACCAAGGTCGACTGTCGTGTCCCTGACTAACTCACCTCTGCAGGCTGACCTCGACGCCTTGGCCAAGTGGTGAAAGGAGTGACTGCTCCCTTTTAGTACAGCAAAGTGCGAAATAATGCACATTGGGAACTACAACCCGAGGCTGACGTACCTCTTGGAGAGCGCCGAAATCGCGGTCGAGTCCACCGAGAAGGACCTCGGAATCTTCGTGGATTACCGGCTCCAGTTCCACGTGCAAACGGCGGAAACGATGTCCAAGGCCAACCAGATGCTGGCGGTCGTGAGGTGGTCTTTTGCCAACATCGAGGCTCGCACGTTGTCATTGCTCTTTAAGATCTTAGTACGTCCGTACCTAGAGTATGGCAACGTCATCTGGGGCCAACTCGGCAAATGGGACCAGAAGCGGGTGGAACGGGTTCGGCGACGAGCTACCCGGCTTGTCTATGAAGTGAGGCGCCAGCCATACCCTGAGAGGCTCAGACTCCTTCAGTTGCCCTCGCTGTACTATTGTCGTCGTGGGGGAGATATGGTAACAATGTACCAGCAGTTTAACGGAGGTATGACGCTGTCGGAAGAGGAGTTCCTGACAGGGCACAACTCGGAGGTGACGAGAGGACACCAATAGAAGCTCAGAAGACCTCAAGCTAGGACTCTCGTCCGTCGTAACTCATTCAGCACGCGGGTCGTCAACGATTGGAACGCTCTTCCACACCCGGTCGTGTCGTCGACCTCAGTTGAACAGTTCAAGTCTAGGCTTGATACGTGCTGGGCTAACATCATGTATGACGTCCCACACTGAATCTTCCCACAATTTGAGACTGTTTGGTTACCTGACCCGGGGCCTGACGAGACCAGGACCGACAGGCCTAGTGGTCTTTTATAATTCCCGATCACCATAAGGTAAGGTAAGGTAAATGGGACATCAAACTGTTCCATTTGGGACAGGAGTTTGCCTGCCTGCGTATTTTGTTGGCCTGTTCACCATGAGTCACAAATTGGAATGAAAGGTAAATTTGTGCCAGAGGTTCTTCTGGTGTGCCAATTTGGGGCTTGTGTGGCTGCGGCCAATGCTCCTGGAAAAAAAAACATGCCCACTGGGCAGTGGATGTAGCAGTGTTATGCTAAACCTGGGTTCCTTTCATTTTTGAAACATGTCAGCACAGCAGCCATTTGCTGTGATTGTGTCAGGACATGAGGGCAGGCCTAAGATAACAGCATGCTAAACTTTTCAGGGCAGATTTTGCTATTCACCTGAAATTTCATGATTGTATGGTAGTGACCAGGGCTCAGCCTGCAAGATATCCATTGTTGCAGCAGATGCTTACAGGGCATTGGTGCACTGAACTGCATGGCGTGC